TATGCAGAAACACTACTGAGCATGAGAAAGGACTGTGAAAGAAACTTCCTTACGTTGGACAATTCAGTTGTTCCAGAAATGGAATTACAAGCTATTATTTGTACCTTAAGTATTTAACTGTGTCTCAGAAATTTAATTAAGCCTTGTATTCAAGTGAGTTCTCTTGGGTTTCCCTCAATATGTACTACCCTGGACCAACACAATTAGGATGTAAAATGTAATAATTACATTTTTCAAAGGCATACATCTTGGAGAGTCTCCACCAAGTTGGTGGGCACTAGTTTCATACCATTACTAGTAAAGAAATCTGTATTGCCCCTTTCAAAGTATTCACCAAGCTTCAGCAAAACTCAGGCCTTTCTTTTCCCTGACAGGCAGTCCTTGACTTGTTTGGGGCCTGAGAGGTTTTTCTTTTTGTACTACCTCTCTGAGTGGAACCAAGAAGTTGTGTCTCCAATTTCTTCAAGATCTATGTAATTATGCATCTCCTTTMCCCCAAGATCCCGTCTTTGCTTGAGTGGTCTCAGCCTGGCACAGTCTGCTTGGAATGGCTTCTCTAACATGTCAATCACACCATCGTCCCTTTGCCTCTTCTCTGCTTCAGCATCTTCTCCATTTGCAACCTTAAGCAGCTACATAATCAAGCCTTTGGGATTCTCAGATCCTTCTTGTCAGACACTATTTATGGGTTTTGAGGAGAGCAGCTGCAGCACACTCATCAGTTGTTTCTGGGTTTTTCCTGTGGTAAATGCCTTCAAAGAGAAAGGAAGATTTTGCTTGGTATTAAACAAAAGAGATAAATCAGACGCTGTTCAAGCTTCAGCCCTGAAAATTTGACCCTTCCTTTTAAGCCATTTGTTTTTAAATACTCAGTTGTATCTTAGCCTTGATAATGGGCTTACTGTTCTGCTTGTGATTTGAATGCCAAAGCAGGACACCAGCAATAAAAGGGAAAACAGAGATAAAAAGGTGTACTGCTTCGAAGAGCAGGGCAAGAGCTAATTACTAATTTGCCAAACTGATAAAGTGGCAGTGAAGGCCTGAATGGCAGATCATAGTGTCTGCCTGCTAAAGTGTAACATGTACAGATAAAAGTAACATATTGTGTATTACTCTCAGACAGGATGTTTTAACTGATATCTTAATATTGGCATGGAAGAGTTAATCCTCTTTTTGCCAGAAGCAGTTTTATGCAATTTCTGGCAGAACAGTAAATGGAGTCAATTCCATGTGCTAAAATAGTAACTGTTTAATTCAGTGTGATTGTTGAATTCAAAATCAGAAACAGCAAAAGCTGATTGTTACCTTAAATTTAATAATAATTAATTGTGGGATAGCAAATCCTTATTAAGCTCTACTGGGATTTCAGGGTTTCTCCCAACCCTGTCTCCTTGCTTTGTCCTTCTCAGGCAATCCCCTGATTTTATAAAAAGCCTAGCTGCCTCCTAAATCCATTTTACACTCTTGCCTTTTATTGCCTTGGCAGTTTACAATATAGCTCTTTTGTTTACTCCATCCCCTAAATTAAATTTCCTGCGGTGCAGCTCCTCAGCCAGCCCGGGCGGGTGTAGCTCTGTGCGCCGCCATCCCTCAGCCGATGCCGCTGCTGGAGCCCCCTGCTATCCATCCCTGCTCCTCTCCCATCCCCCAGRCCCATCGCTCGCACGGCCTTGGCAGCGTTCCCGCATCATCTGTTCCCTCGCTAATAACACGATTCAGCATTTATCGGGCCGGCCTGGCTCCCTGCACATCCAGCGGCAAAGCGGCCATCGATTGCAGGATGGGGAAGCAGAATGAGCCCGGGTTCTGAGAGCTCTCTGCAAACCAGAGTGCAGTTCATTCTCTGATGGGTTATACTCGCCTTGCTCCGTCACAGCGGACAGAAAACATCTCAGCACTGCCCTAGCCGGCAGGGGAGGTGGCTCACATGACTCGAGAGTCACATCACAAAAGGCAAGCTGTGGGCTCTGCTCCAGCAAGGACACACCTTGGTGACTGAAGGGCTCATTGCCAAAGATGGTACAGTCAGTGTTCCCCGATACGTCAAATAAAATTGCCAGATAAAAGCAGTACGAAAGACAAAATATTTTCAGCAGAAAGAGTGAATAAGATCTCACTCTCTCTAMACTCTTGCTTTCCAAGAAGAAAGTCGCTTTATATCTGCTATATTTTTAATGAAATGCTATTCTAATAGGGTAACGAAGTTATTAAAAAAGCCCATATATGCTTTAAAGAACAGAATTGAATGACATGATTGGCTCTAAACCAACACCAAGACTTTAAATTTTGAAGACTAYTACTGGGGACTATAATGTTTTCTAAAGTCTTTTCTAGTAGTCTGTCAATGACAACAGGCATTAAAATAACATAGAGTCACYATAAAACCTTGGCATTTTTCTGCCTACATTTTGTTTAGGTTTTTTTATGGTGGTGCATTCACCTAGCAAGGAAAATATATTCTTCACAGGATTTAAAACATATTGGATATTAAAAAGTGTTAATTCAAATATTTTCATTATGCCACTTTTTGCAAATTTGGAAAGGTTCTGAAAAATATGCAAAGTTCATCCATGCAATTTTAAGCAGTGTATTACCTTAAATTAATGTTTAAAATCTGTAGTTATTTTAAGGAGATGATTTTAGAAGTGTTTTTTAAGAGTGTAGTCTTACAGCATTGAAGTTTAAAACACAGTATATAACACAGAGTAATAAAAGGCATAACTACAGATGTAACCAGCAGCAAAAGAATGGCGTACAAAATACAGATACAAGCAAGTGCYCATCTCATCATCACTGATACGTAAATACCCACCGTGGGGACACAACCTGAGCTTCATTTGCTAATTCTGGCTAAAAAGAGAAAAACATTAAAAAATCAAGAAAGTGGTTGTGTGGTGCCTAATTTGCTTCCTAGCTAAAGTACTTCTCCCTGAGAWAAGCATGATAAAAATGTTCCTTTTCCTTGGCTCACATTTTGGAGCATGGGTTGGTTCTGTTTCCACTGTAAGAACAGTTTTACCAATTTAGCACCCATACTCACTGTGTAGGCTCTTAATCCTGTACAGATTAAAGTGCAGAGCCAGCCAAATGCACATAGTAGCCCTGGTTACTTCAGTACATGTTCTCTGCATGTGGAATAGCAATGAAACACAGTTCTTGTTTTCACAGTCATTATTTTTGAGTAACCATTGACTTACATTTTGACAAAATTAATTTTTGCTGTAGCTGCAAATCCCTGAACACCAATATTTTTACCCAAATGCATTTGAAGGCTTCGTGTGGCTTTCTAATACAAGTAAATCAAATTCAAATCCTATACCAGGTAAGAAATTTCGGGGAATATCTGGTACAGGGGCCAGGGAACCCATGACCTCCTCTTTGGCCAGGGAGTTTCTCCCGGACAGTCCATCAAGCTCTCCCTCAAAAACACAACATCATTCCCTTCTTCCCTCCAAATGCCTCTTCCAGGATTTCATCCCAATGTGCAATGCTCCACACCACCCTATTCCAGCTGCTGCCTAAGTCTCATTTCATTCAGTGCTTTGCTCCTTTGCCTTGTATTTCTCACTTTCCCCTCCTCTTGCCTGGCTGAAACAGAAGAGCTCGGTGTGGAGTAGCACTGGGTGACCCGGCTTTGCACGAGGATCATGTGCTGCTTTGGATCTGACAGCAAGGCTGAAGGATTTGCAGGTGCAGAGCACTTCTGGGAGGGTGAGATGAAGCTGGGTAAGGAGAAAGCACTGCACAGAGGGCTGATTAATGAACCACATGGAAAAGGTATTTAGAAGTCTCAGYAGTCCCCTCAGTAAAGAAAAAAATGTCATACCCCTCCATGAGTAAATTTCAGCTCCGGATGTGTCCAGATGTATAGTTAATTCTTACAGGTATTCCACACAAAGCATCCATCAGCTCCCATGGCAGCCTCAGTAATTCAAACAGCTGCATGGTTAGGAGCCCAGAAGTATTGAATTCCTGTACTTCACACTGTTCCCAAGCATTTGTCAATTGAAAAGCRTTTAGCTTAGTTTATTTCAGAGCAAATGTTTCCCTTTGCTCCCCAAACACATGGCACTCTTCAGATCTGAAGGGCCAGAAATACTTCAGGGCAGAAGGCTGTAATCACAGTGGCAGGAGGAGAGGAGCCAGGCTCAGGCATCCCTCTGAACCCAGCATCAGTGTGATATGCTTTCCACCTGCCACCCCAAGCACTGGATTCCCACCCTACTGAATCAAGACTTTAAAAAGGATGCAAATTTGATGCCCAGCTATGACAAGGGACACTATTTGAAAGAGCACGTGGAATAAAAGCTTTCTGGAGTGATAAAGTAACTTCTCTGGCACTAGCAAATAGAATGGGTGAGGAGCCTCTGGTTTCGCTGCATTTTTCTAAGATACAGAATGGAAAAAAAMCAAGAACTTTCCCTACATAGACTTCCTCTACTAACCTTTATACTAAAGGTCCTCCAAAAACAGAGAAGTGTCTAAATTATAAAGGAATAAACTGCCTGYATTGATAATCGTACATATAATAAACTATTTTGAATACAACAAAAGCTGTGTTGTTAATATGAGCCTTAAATGCTTCAAGACCTTACCAGAACTCCTAGTGGAAACAACAGGACTCCATTGTCTTACAGGCGCTAAACTTATTTCTTCAACTAAGAATCTATTCCACTGACTTTCAGCTCTTACTTAAAGAAACACTTTGTATGCATTTGCTGCTCTGTAATATGAGTTGTATTTTTTTTACGTGTTGAAAGCAACTGAAAAGCAGAGAGAATAGGGTCTTTAGAACACCTTTTTTCACATGTTCACATGCTGTCTGAATCACATTTGCAGGAAGATGTCAGCCTTTTGAGCACAGCTCAAAGGGTGTCTGTGGTGCCATGAGAACAGATCTCTGTTCTGCCAAATGCCTCGTGACTCAGTCCATCACAATAGTTAATTGGGAAATTATTTTTGTTATGGAAACTATTTCTTCTTTGGGTTTTCTGCTTTAGGCTCTTCAGACATACCAGACTGATCCTGACATGAGAAAGATGCTAACTCAGCTGTATTTCTATATCATGCCTGTATTTAATGTGGATGGATATCATTTCAGCTGGACAAATGTAAGTCATGTCTGTAGTATTACTCCAAAAATTATTCAGACAGGAAAGTTCAAATGGCTGTTACATTATTCAAAGGTGGCTCTATATAATCTGGTCCATCACTTTGTGCCTTGCAAAATGGAGGCAAATTACTTCCCTTAAAACAGAATACTGAATGTGTTTACCAGGGTTGATTTGTTATGTGTACAAATAGATTTTTGCCAAAATATADTAATATTTCTATTTAAATATTTTGTAACTTATGCTAGGATCGATTTTGGAGAAAAACAAGATCAAAGAAYATGAGGTTTCATTGTCATGGTGTTGATGCTAATCGCAACTGGAAAGTGAAATGGTGTGGTAAGTATGGAGATACTTTGGTCCCACAGTTCAGACTACCCTGTATTTAATTATCTAACAGAGGTAATTATCCAAGTAGGTTAGGTCACATCTGTTGTGTTCTCTTTTCCATAGTTAAAGATATTTTCCCATAAAGCCATAGGCCAAGGCTCAAATCTTCCTACTAACTTTTAAAAAATTAAATGTCCTGAACTTTGGGAGAACAGACCTTATAATAAGCAAAAATATTTCATGGAGAATGTGTCAAAATTTTAAAAATCACACATACAGCTCTTCTGTATTTTGGCAATCATATAAATAATTTGACGCATAGCACAGACTATGGGCCATAGCTTTTCTACTACAGGTTTAGGAAACATTTCAAACTTCATTTTATTCAGTTGGCCATTTCTCTGAAAATATTTAAGCTTTGGAAATGTCAAGCTTACTTTGTTGGTCTCAGTGTCTTTAATGCTGTTATTATTAATGGTTTAATGAAGAAAGAAGKTGCTTCTAAATGTATGGAGATACAATTTTAAAGTCCCAGCACTTCTGTAAGTACTTCATAAAAATTTGCCTCAGTTTTGCATAGAGAATGCAGCAGTAATGAAATTACTCGCAGAAGATTTGGAGTGTGTCCACCAAAGAACAAATGGTATTTTATTAAATCTTTCAGAAAGATAGTGCACCTCACACAGGAGTAAGCAGCCCTGAGAGTTCTGGCCTTAGTAAGAACACTGAAATTATGCAATATATTTGCATTTGCTGCTCTGCTSTCCCATCTTAAGGAACTTCCTTCACCTCTCTGTGCGGATGTTTTCTTACCCAGCATCAGTTCACYGTCCTTAGTTATATTACAGGCTTGTAAAGACAAGAAATTGTGTTTGCATAGYGCAAGGGCCCTGCCTTCAGCCCATCCTTCTCACACTGGAAGTCTCTAGATGTTTCCACAATGCTCCAGTTGCATGCAGTAGGAGTGAGACAGTACAGTCTGGCTTGCAACAGCTGGATTCTTAGAGTTTTGAGAATTGKAAGGATAAAAGTGAGTGTKAATAAGATTACAAAAGGAAGATTACAAATGAAGTATGAACAGATGCATACATCCAATCCAKTATGGACCTGTGAAATAGACTTCAAACTGTTTTCAACTCTACCCATTGTAAGAAGACTGACACMGAAGCAGTTACAGAAAGGCTGTGTTAGCTGAGAGACCCTCGGTTACAGAAGACAGGCTCAGGACTGCTATCACAATCTTTAAGGCAATTTAATGCTGCAAAAATAACATAAAAATGAACCAGTCCTGCATCGTTATTTGCATCATTCACTTAAGTGTGTGAGCCACAGCTGCAGGTATTTGGGAKGCACACATTTACTATTCAGAAGACAGCCACTGGCATAATTTGAATGATCAGTTCTCTTATAGTGTGTTGAGAGATATATCCTACATACCTATCAGTGCAACATTAATAGTCAGTACATTTCCTTTCTAGCTCTAATTGATCTTTCTTGGGTTCCTCCTCCCCCTTCCTGCTACCTAGCCACTGTACTAAAGCACATTTTTTAGTCAGTCTTAAAAATGTTTGCTCAGTTTTAATGCAAAAAACTATTTTTTCTCGGCTTAGTGAAACTCTAACCGTATCACATGTTGTGTGTTGCAATCCCCTACTTGTTGCATTTCTTCCCTGCACTGAATATGAAAGACARGTCCCCACCCCAAGTTTCAAAAATACAAATTCCTTCAAGGTGGCTTGTCATCCCAACAGGCACATGCAGATAGACTTGGGGGTCCTGCACTGGACCCCTGAGTCTCTCTGATTGTCTATTTTGAAGGAGAATAAAAAGCTCTTTTATGAACTGGGCTGACTGGTACTCAGATGACCCTAACCAGTCACCCGGTGTTCTCATTAATATCTGACACTAGATGAGTCAGAGAAGAATYTGGATCATATCACACTTTGAGGCTTGTGTAATCATGGTGTGTTTAACATTTAAAACTGCGTGTGCTTGTAAAAACCTTTTCACTCAGTTCAGTTGCACTTAAAGGTTTCAGACAGGTTTGAACTTCACYGTGGGGCTTCCAGGCAGGTGTGCTGTGGCAGACTCTGGCCTCAGCAAAGCCACCGAATGCTATCAGCAATGAGTTAGTCAGGGCTGATAACAGAGCATCCCATCTGCTTTCCTCTTCCTTTCTAGTGCAGGGCTTTGATGTAAGCTGTATGATTCTCTAGGGACCAAGCAAAGGGCCACATCACTGCTAGATTTCATGTTGCAGCGCTCTGTACTCAAAACAATGCACAGAAATTGCCCACAGACCCATGTGAGTACTGGCAGCAAGAACTCTGGCTAGAAATGCTCCTTGCAATGCATGTGTGTGCAATATCTAGTAGAGTGGTTTAATGATAATGAAATAAATAGCAACTTTAAAGCAAATAATGAGGTACTTAGAACTAAATTATGTCATAGGAGAAATCCAGTTAAAGTGGTTGCAAGCAAATCCCCAAGAGAACAACGGTGGGAGTTAAAATTTCCACCATATCCTGATTTCCATTGCACCCAGGTGCTCACTATATCCCCTAGTGGCAGCATTGCTGCAGGGAAATTTGAAAGTTATGCTCCAGCTCACTCATCCTCTCAGTCTTCCTTCTGCACCAAAGCACTGGTTTTATCAGTCTCGGCACACATTTTGTTTGATCCCATGATGGATGTTGCAGGATTTTTGTCCTTGTCCGCCCCCAGTATGCTAGCAGGTACGAAAATACAGCAGCATGGTAACATTTTACACAATTCCATTTCCTTCTCATGACTGTAACTCAGAAATGTCACAGGAGTTAATACATACTGAATCAATTCTTCTTTCTTTCATGAGTTACTTTAAAAGAACTTCCAGCATGAAAATTGAGCATATGCTTACATTATCCAAGGCCACCATGGAAAGCTTCTCTTTTTACTACCAGCCAGCTTCAGTTAAGGTAAAGCATTAGCTACAGCTGGGACAGCACGTGGTTTGTCATAGTAGGCTGGACAGTTTAGAGAGTTTTTTCCTTCACTGGAAGTCACTAAACTGAACCATATTTTGCCACTGGGTCATTTTACCATTACCTTGTAGGAATTCACTATTTATTAACAGTGTTATGCATTGCCGTGATTCAGTATACAACAGTGTTACAGGAGATGAAGCATCCATTTAAAAAAAAGCAAAGGCTCTGGAGACTCTGTTAAATAGCTCTCCTTTAGCTATATTATCTGAAAAGAAATCAAGGCAGAGTGCTCTTGGGATCTGGATGACTTGGTGGCCATCTGTTCTGCATGGAGGCCACCATCTGCCCTCTRTATAACCCTTCCATATCTACTGCAATCCAAGCACTAATACCTTTTGAAATCCCCACCTGTGGCCATTGAATGGTAGCCTCAATTTTCATCTTACAAATGAAACTGCAGCATGAAATTTTTCCACTTTTTTTTTTTTTTGGCATTAGGTTGATTGCATAACCCTGTTTTAGTTGATATCATTATGCCTTCTCACACACTGYTCTCTTCTTATTAATTGAAGATGGCAGTACTTGCTATAGAAAGGAAAGGTAATAAAACACTGCTGTTGTAAGTCCCTGATGGCACCAGGGAAGTTTGCAAACAAACTGTTATTATTCTGCAGGTCAATGTAAAACGTGTGGTATTTTGAAATTACAGCGGATAAAAGAGCAGAGTAGATTTGCATAAGTATTGTTCTTTTAGGCCCAGGTCCTAAGCTGTAAATGAGATGATGGCTTAGATCCAGAATTGCTAAATTATAAAGGAGCCACCACCACATCTCCTTTTCTAAGTTTCATCTTTCAGCACCTCACAGGATATTACAGGTAGGCTACACTTGTGCAACTTGCTGCTACCTGAGCAGGTTGACATAAAGATATCCACACAACTGAACCCCTGCCCCAAACTTGAAGGAAAGTATGGCCCAGTACAAACTGAGATTATTTCTATTTTAGCTGACTGAGCAGTCATCCCATGTGGCTTTTTTTCTTCCATGAAGTTTGCAGGGGTGAAAATAGGCCGTAGTAGGGAACTATTATCATGTTTTTAAGATAAACCTTGTTGAGGTGATCTACCTACAAYTGTGACCACCACTGTAGTAGATAGTATGTTAAAAGCTCTAAAAGGCTAGATTTGTCCTGGGAGTGACTAATGAAAGAAATAYAGCTCTCTGATTTCAGATAGACCAACTGAGACCCATCAGTAGTTTTAATACTGGAATGCTGTCATAAAATGTGCCGCTGATAGGAGAAGCCAGGGAAGGAAATACAATGAAGTCAGGTTCTCTTTTTCAGTTTTAAAGAATGTATCCTCAGGGTGTAGTTGGCCAATTGGGCACTTGGTGTGTCTGCTGGATTGCGGCACTGAGGTCCCACAGGCTCATGCCCATCAGGCACAAGAAAGCAATTTGTTTATTGCTTTTCACGCTCTTGCACAAGGGCCAAAAAAGGTTGAGCCAGAAGCTGACCCTTGGAATTTCTCTGTGATTGTTCACCACCAWCTTTCTCTTTCAACCTCTAGATGAAGGTGCTTCATTGCACCCGTGTGATGACACTTACTGTGGTCCCTTTCCCGAGTCTGAGCCTGAAGTAAAGGCTGTTGCTCATTTTCTCCGCAAACACCGGAAACAAATAAAAGCCTATTTGTCCTTCCATGCATATGCACAGATGCTGCTCTACCCTTACTCTTACAAATATGCAACCATTCCAAACTTCAACTGTGTGGTAAGTACATAAAAACTTGGGAGAATCTGCTCCTCTGTATATTTTTCGTATGTTTTGTTTTGAGAGAAGGCATGTTTCTTCAATACTTTGCATATATTTAATACTGAGCAGTATTTATTCTGAATCCATTTGCAATCACATTTCTGATTATATAACCTTCACTCACCATGAGTCAGTGGTAATTTGATTAAAATGGTATAGTGCCTTTCATCCATCAGTCCCTTTAAATTACTTTATAGGATAAATCCCAAAGTTTTAATTATAGTTATTATCATTTTATTTAATTAACTGTAATGGGAATTACATACTCAAGTCCTTGGGCATCTAGCTGAAATTCTGTCTCTTTATACTCAGAACTTAAACACTAGGAGCAAAAAGAAGCTAGTATTCAATGTTATGAACAAAATAAAATTGAAATTGTTTCTGTTTTTCAATTCAAGGACAAATCTCTTCGATTTCACAATTGCACTATGTATCATTCAGGTCAGACATAGTATTTTTAACCCTTTTCAGATAAGCAGTTAATTAAAGTCAGGAGCTTCTGTCTATTAGAAAAGTAAATTAATAAGGATACATTTTTTTGGTGTAAGCCTATTGATTCACAGATGCATGCATTTCATGTATTCTGTGCTCATCCAAATGCAGAGCTATTCCCTCTGCTTGCAGTCTGAGGTCTGTTTTAGCCAGCCTYCTGTTCATAAAACCCCCCTTATGGCTTATTCTCTGAGGGACACATGGATAAGCTTTGCTCTCTATTTGCTCCTGCTCACAGACCCACATTGCACCAACCAGTTGCAASCCTCTTTTTTTCACCCTCAGTCCTGAGYTAAATTACATTTTCCATTTATCTCYCATTTTAACCTTGAAAGTTGCAGYGACTTTTAACTTRCTGGTTTAAGCTAGTYTTCTCCAAAGGAGCTTACTGCACCTTAGATTTATCCTGTGCAGAATAAATGATGTTGTCAGTCCCTGGAGCTTCACTGAAGTTTCACTCAGCTGTTCTCTCAGGAGGCTGAGCAGCCAGCACTCCACAAACTAAACTCTCTTCGTAGGATCATTTCTGTTAAGACCATTTCAGTAGCTACTAAACATTCTTGCCACTCCTGTGAAACAGAGGAAATTAGAATTTAACGAAGCAGCCAGAGGAGCTAAAAATATGAGACTTGTGGGGATTGACCATTCAATTCTGTATTGACTGTGAATAAATTTATGAATCTTTTCTATTTTACTCTACCTTCACACTCTTTTGGTGAATGACAAGGAGAAAGGAGTTTCCCAAGTGAATTGATGACTATTAAGTGATCAAAAAAATATAGACTGGAAATTTCAAATCGCAGGTTCTCTCATTCCTTTGAAGATCAGCAGGGCCAAGCATATTTTTTCAAGAACAGACAACAGAGAAGAAGGTAAAAACAYGGGTTTAGGAAGAATCACCATCTTCTCTGCAAGTATGTGGTTATTGGGTATCTGACTAAAATGTCCAGAGTAATGCAAGGCAATAGCAGACACTATAGACAGGAAATTCATTGCAAGGAGAAGGAACATCTAGCTGAGCATTTTCACACACACCAGTATATTTTAAATACATTCTGTTCTTGTTGCCCAAGGGATAATTCCATTCTGAGAAAGATGGAATTATCAGGAGGAGCCCCTCATCTCGTACACATTGCTTTTTTTTTTTTTCACACATTCCATCCATTGCATTTAGGCCAAAGGATCCCAGTTTTTTGATGTTTAGCAGGTGTTCCTCAGGTTTGCAAGACCTTGGATCAGGCTCTTGATCAGACGGAGTGGAGCACAGACCTAAAGGAACTAAAAAAGACACTGTTTTAAACAACAGCCATGGAGAAATGGAAGCCAAATCCCAATTCTAAATATCTCGCCAGTATTTAAACTTCATACTTCTTTCCATTGCAGTGGGTCAAAAATAAGAGGGGGGTTGAAATGAGAAACTGAAATAATTTCCTGTTATTCATTATAGGGATCATAAAAAAATTAAGGGAACACTTGTTTCTTATTTATTTTTGTGTTTTAATGCTTTGGCCTACAGCCAAAGGCTCYATCACCTGGTGGCTCATAAATAYATTGKTTTYAGTATTTGAAGTCTCTAAAATGGTRACTTAGGTTGAGGTTTCAGATTCTCTGGTTCTGTTGGAAATTGCAGTGAGCTGGAAAGTGATAGATCTCTGTTTCCTGACACTGATGGAACAAACATTGTTGGTCTACATGGGCTGTGTACAATGGACAACTGTAGGACCCCACATGCATAGCAGATAAGTGGCTTTTGGTGATAACAGAGGGCTACAATTAATTCTGAGCAGAAGAAAGGCTGTTTCTGTCTGGGTTGGATCATTCTAGTGAGCTGTCAGTTACCATTTCAATTAAAGCGTTCAATTATTCAGAGCTGCTTTGAAACTGGAGAGCTGTGTACTGATCACAACTGATGCATAYTCTGTTCTAATTTAGACACAACTCTCTTATTAACACTCTCCTGAAATCTGTTTTTTAAGATGCTTAAAATGAAAGTGCTCTTTTAGATTGAAAAAAAAACCCAGCAGAAACATACATCCATCTCCAGAGTTTTAAATTTCACCTGATTTTCATCCCTTTTCTTCCTGTACTGTCATTTGCCTTAGTATTTGCAGTGAAATTATATGGCATGACTGAGTTTGTGTACATCTTTGCAAAACTCTGGTAATTTTATGTGGCATTTTCTCCTTGAGGGTGTTCAAAGACTGGTAGCCTGGATTTATTTAGGATCCAACCTGCACTGCATGATGTAGTTGAGAGCTGTCCCTTTTTTGGGCACATAGCTCTAACAGTGGAAGCCATCTGCGTTCCTCAAGGCTAARAGCTTCAAGTTCACAGTGCCTGGGGATGCTCACCCACGTGGTGGACATGGACTTGGGGTGCTCCTGGTCTGACCTGCAGATAGTTGCTGCCTCTGCACAGAGTCCAATAGCATTGTGCTGATTTAAAATGGCATTGCCAAACTGTTTCTTCAAAAGAGCTCAACAGGATTTGCTTCTGTTTTCTCACTGTTGTACAGTGCATAACTCATGCACAGGAAATCTTCTTGTTTGTGGCTATGTTCTCCTTGCCATGGTGCAGTTGCCAGGACTTTGCTCTCCACCCCACTCATCTCCCTCYGCTGAGCCCTGTCTCCTGCTCCCTTAGCATCAGTTGTGCTGTCAGGACATCCCAGCTCCACCACGACTCTGGGATGGAAAGCACAGCTGCTTGCAAATTTTGGTTGAGCGATAGAGCCTTGTACTTGAGGCAGTGCAGGCACAAGACAACAGCTCCCAGCTGCAGCTGGAACCCCCCTCCCAGGTCCCTGTGCAGCCACAGCCACWACAGTCACCCTCACAGGGTGACCAACACCTCCAACCCCATCCTGTGTGTCACAACTCAGAAGTCAAGGCATCTGGAGGAACAGTCCCAAGTGACAGCACTTGTCTCTTGTCCCACAGGACAGTACTTTCTCATTTTTGGTGTTAGGGTGAGTCAGAGGTTACCCCTCACACTGGCTGACAGCCACATCCCAGGCCAGCAGAACTTCCAGCAGGATGGAGTTCAGTGGTCCTTACCTCCCCACACTCTCTCATGGAGATGCAAAGGGACCAAGCTGAAAATGTCAGTCTCCAGCACCATCATCCTTCTGCTAAAAGATCTGGTTGCACCTAACAAATTTTAGTAATGGAATAAAATTGTGCTACTTCATCTGCTAAGAGCAGTTACTGTGTAAAATAAACTCTCCACAGCCYTACCTGCAGATCAGTAAGTGAAAATCAACTTATTTTTGTTTCTGGAATGACATTTTAAAGCAGCCAGTTTTCTCTGGATTCTCTACTTGGACAAAGCCTGCATGGGTCAGACGAAGGATTAAATTAGAATCCCAACTCCTGACAAGGGCAARCAAGGGGAAGGTTAGGAAAAACATAAATGGAAAGGCAAGTAAAGGGTAATCCTTCCCCAGTGTATTCATCTAGTGCCTGATGAAAAAGGTAAGGACTGAGTTCATGCAGACTTACGTAAATCAAAATGTACAGCTCCTCTGTTCAAGGAAGTAAAACAACTAAAACAACCATTGCAGCTTTATCCAGCCTTCAAAGTCCAGCAGTTTCTAGCTCCAAAGATGATAATTTCCTGTTCTGTGTAGGGAGATGACTCTGTTTCTCAGGTGTTCATTGTTCATTCTACAATATCCTTTACTTTGGATAATAATACTCCTTTTCCTTTTGAATAGGTGCATCCTTTCTRTGTGTCTGGATGCACTATCCATATGTGATTCTCAGAATCTGCCATGGGCCAGGCCTTCTGCACCCAGTTTCACAGAATGCCATGAACCTCCTAAACTGCCTTTCAGCCACAAGCTGTTGCAATTTAGGTGCTGTTTTTCCCCATACCATACTGAAATCCCATTTCTGTAATAGTGGAAAGAGCCCTCCAAGGCTGTGTTATCAGGCCCCAGAGAAAGTTAGACCAGCAATGAACATTTACCTGCTGATCAGAGATTCTGGAGTGGAATTTGCCTCCTTCTTTCTTCCCACTCTGCTCACTGAACCMCTGTGGAGTGTCAACAAGACATCATTTCTCCTTCACAAGCCCAGCAGAGACAAGGTTTAGTGAAYTGGGAAATAAATCCTCAGAAAATACATGCATGGCTTTTAAACTACTTAAAAAAACCAGATTATTTCATCTCATGGTTTTACGTGTCATCAACATTTTTTGTGTTGCTAAATTGACATATATACCTATAATTACAAATACTTAATATCTGGTCATTCACAGTGCGGTGAGCTCTTTTATGTCATGAAAATACCAAACCAAGTTTTTCAGGGAATTGCTGTTAATAAAAATAAATAATGCACTTATCCTTTATAATAATTTTAACTTAGCTGCCATAGACTCATGGAACACAGCACTGCACCATTGACTCAGGTTCCAATCACAAGACAATCCTTAATGAAAAGTCTAATTTGTGTTTGWTTTTTTCTCCTCCCCAGGAATCAGCAGCCTATAATGCTGTTAATGCTCTTCAGTCAGCCTACGGTGTAAGATACAGATATGGCCCTGCATCCAGCACTTTGTGTAAGTTTCCCTCTGCAGGTGTGTGACTTTGACCTTCCTACAGGAAGAAGGAGAATACYCTTATTGTAACAGAGAATGCAAACACTATTTAAAGTGAACTTTGTTCCGGTTTTGAGTTGTGAGGAAGGCAGAAGAAAGTTTTGCAACTGATTCAGTTGATTGCAGTAAGATTAACTCAACTGATGCAATGAAACAGATTAAAATGCAATGCATTTGAGAGTCAAAAGCCAGAAAATAACATATTCATAGCATATAAAACCTGGGTTTTTTAAAAAGAAAAACTAAGGTCTTAAAAAATGTATCTTTATCAGATACTGCAAATGTACTACTAAGTTCTAAYAGCATTTGTCAGGCAAGGTCTCTGTAGATAGGTCAGGGAAAAAGAAGTTCAACAGGTTTTAACATGACACTTTTTTTTATAACTGAAACTTTGAGGCATGAATGCTATGGCTGATAACAGGTACTGAAAAAGTGAAAAGCTGAAACTTTTCACAGGCAACCTCCTGCATCTCTTCTGCCYTTGCTGCATTTCAGCTACAGTTCCACTTATCATGGGCCTCCATCTCACAGCACARTCATCATGTGCTCATTATACTGCAGTCAGTCACCATGCCAAAGAAAAAGCAGTGTGAATTAATGCCAGAATTGCACRGATTACAGCAGGCCACATGAGAGATGTATCTGTATAAAAAAAATGTGTCTTGGGTAATCAGCAAATGGAGATAACGAAAGCATAAGCAGCTCACTTCCTCAGGAAGGTCTGTTAGTATTAGACACCACTGATGCAAACGCTCTCACGCCGTGAGGAAATGGTGAGAAAATAGGACAACTGAAAAGAATTTTGAAAGCACTTTAAAGATGGTAGATTACTTAATCAGCATTCCCCCTTCTCACTGCAAATGAATTGCCTAAAAAACCCAATTTAAACCTTGGAACGTGCAGAGCTCTCCAGTCCAGCTGGGAGATCTTTCTGAAAGGAAAGCATTAGACTGCACTAACATGGGGGCAAGAACAGTTTGAGACTTTATTCTAGATATTCTCTTTTATTARAATTTTGCTTTACTCAAAAGAGTTACATTATTTTTTCCTATGAAAATGAAGGATCTAATCCATATTGTGCTGAGCACATTTCTTCAGGTGCTGGGTGCKCATCCTCTTTTCTGAAGGGTGTTCATGATCAGGGCAAGCAACAGCTGTAGTTGCAAGTGTACTCATTGAGTCCTGCAGACAAAATGCCACAAAAACCCTCTGGTGATTTCAGTATGAGCTGCATTTAAGATTTTTTAATGCTTTCTCTGAATTGCCTTTTTCAGATGTGAGTTCAGGCAGCTCTATGGATTGGGCCTACAAAAATGGCATCCCCTATGCATTTGCRTTCGAACTGCGTGACACTGGCCATTTTGGATTTTTACTTCCTGAGACACTGATCAAACCAACCTGCACAGAGACCATGCTTGCAGTTAAAAATATAACTCTTCACTTGCTRAAGAAATGTCATTGAGATTGATTCCTAGGAGCTGGAAGTGGACGTTTTATTCCCAGTGCTGACGCCACCCAGTTTTAAGTTTGGCCACTCGAAACTTCTAGAAGCTAATGGGAAATATGGTATTGTTTCTGCCAAATTTACTTGGTGGAAAATGGAAAAAAAAATTATATTTGCTCTTCTAAAGCCCACTAAGCTGATATACTAACTTAGTTACCAGTTTGGTGCAAAACAATTTCTTCTTTTTGCAATAAAACCTCAGTGAGGCAGGTCCTAAAATAAGGTGCCACTTCCAGGCAGTTCCTGGCCTTACTCCTTTACCTAATATGAAGACATCCCATGRGGTTTCTCGAACCAAGGGATAAAGTTTACATTCATGTGAATATACCCTRTGACCCAACACAGGTCTCTATCTACAGCAATAAATGCCTTATAGTGGTAGCTGGCTGCACTGCAAGTAGCAGTGTGGTTTCCTTCTGCGTGTACACATACATACACACATGCATACATGCACTTTTGTGACTTTTTTTCATATTATGCAATAATTTGTACCAAGGTTTCCTTTAACCATTCAGAGAAATCTACTTTCAAATGTATATAATTGGAGTGGACTCAAAATGAACATATTGTTTTTGAAAATGTAACTTTCCTAGTGATGTTTAAGGATTATAATGTAATATTATTGAGACAGACAATACTCTGCTTTATGGACAAAGCAACTTGCCATGACTTAGAACTTGAAGCTGGCAGTGACTGCCCATTTACACCAGCAAAGGATTTAGCCTTAAACTGTAATTAACTGATGTTTTATTTATCATTATATAAAACATTATATATTCTTCAGTGAGTTCTGTAGCTCTTTGGCTATGTGGCTCTTCTTCTTGGAAGTCGTAATTTTTTTGCATRTTTTAAAGGAATTAATAAATTTTAATAGATTCTTAAGTGAGCCAGAGGTGGAGGTAGAAGCCTTACAGCTGAAATAAAGTGAACAAGCACCATGTTTGAAAGAATAATGAAAGCACAGAGAAGATAACAACATGTTGAGGGTTTTCTAGTACTTTTAAATTACTATTTTTTTTATCTTATTGTATCTGCAGAAGCATATATTTTACTTTATGAATTTTGAGTTTACTCTTATGCCATTACATGTTAACTAAAACATATTTGTTAATAAAATTGTCAAAGGATTTTGAAGTATTCTTCATATTTCACTTAAGTGTCAAAACTTTAGTTCAAGGATGTAATGATTTTACCARTCTGTAAGATTGGTATCCTTACTGGATGAGGAATTTTAAAAAACCTACATCTTCTCTAAATGAGCACCTGAACTTAGCAAATGGRCAATCTTTATAAGTCTTGTAAGGGAAGCACTGTATTTAATTAAGATGTCATTGTTTTCAGGACTGCAAAAGGCAATCAATGAGCAAAGATGATGGAAGTRCATTCTATTTGTCTAATATTTTGTWAATAAATGCATTTATTTTACACCGAGRTTCTGAAGGTTTGTTYAGATTTGTTTAGTTCATTTCGTTTGAGTAATGCAAGTTTCTGTTCTGGTTTATTAAAGTCCAGGGGACAGAAGCTCTCACAATAGTAACTTCCAATTACTTATGAACACAACCATGAAATACTTYAAAGACAGCAAGAACTGTCTTTTGCTGTGCACAGATTCCTGACCAATKACCTTGATAGTGGTATGAATTATTAGCACCAATTGTTAGGAGTTTTTTTGAATTGAGGTGACAAGATTGTACTACAAGGACTTAAGAGACTGAAGTGAAGAACAAAATGAAAGGGATGTCTAATCAGCATGAGGCAAATTTACCTCTGAATTGCTACAGTACAAGCATGGACCAGGAGAAACCAGATTCTGATGTGGTGGTTTGATTTCTGATTGCAGATCAATAGTTCATCACATGAAATATTTCACCTTAATCTTCATACCATTACACCTCCAATGGTAATGAAAAGTAATTGAATTCTTGGGGCAAGAAAGGGAAACAAATATCGTCTTTTACCTACATTGTAGACCTAATTGACCTTGAATACAAAAAACTGCAGTATTCTTAGATTTATCTAAGAAGCTTTGACATTTAGAGGTACTAGATACCAAAACCTTTCCATTAATAAAGCMACACACTAGTATATGGATGGACTCTGCTTGAATACTATGTATGATGTGCAACTGAGAACTCTGAGCTGAACTCTGAGCTGAGTTTTGAAGACATGTGCAGGGTAACTTAATGCTCCYTAACTGAATACAAGTGTAAACAGTCTCTGAGCCCTTTATTTTCATGGTCATTAAAGCTGGTGGAAAGACAGTCACTAGGGAAGAACAAACACTGTTTCCTGAATTAAAATTTTGTAAGATAATTCTTCWGAAAAAAAGTGATTGTAAATGGAGTAGTTTATCCTAAGGAAAGGACTAAYGGCAATCAGCTATTTCAATATGGAATCATATAGCCTTTGTGACTTACAAATGTTACTTCTCAAGAACAGCTTTTTTATCTCTATAATTGTTTACTTCTCTTCCCTTTGTACTTTTCAGCAGTTTTTATTGACTACAGGACAACAGAATTGAAAGCTGGTTTTGAGAAAAGTAAATTTATTTCATGATCATAGGTACAGTTTATCATTCAACACAATAAAAAGTACATGCTCAGCAAAACACAGTTTATTTACCCAGCAGTCAAAATCATATACATAGCAATTAAGTGAAATCCAGAAATTACACTTCCACTGATTATTGATATAACACTTATATAACTTGGAAAAAAAAATCTGTTCTTTTTTTTAATAGCCTAATTTTTATAAACAAACCTGTGAGATTTATTAATAGAAAGGAAACAGGTCCATGCCTCTTCAAGTCACCCCTCCTTAAAACAAGTATCACAAATTAAAKCATCATTCATAAATTGACTTCAACAAATTTTAAAAAGCACATTTAGAATTCAAAAAAGGTATTGAGTTTTGTTGCAAACCTGGAAGAGCACTGCTGTAAAAAACAGAATAAGACAACAGAAATTTAAATAATTTACAGAACCACTTTTTAAATAGAAACCCAGTGACATTAGGTATACTTCTTAAAAAACATTTTTAAATGCTCACAACACAAAACAATTTATAAATTCGTTGGAAATCTGAAAGTCTTCTGCTCACAGAAAACATAGATCATTTGCCATGTGCCTAATACATGCCCAAATCTCATACTCATTCAGGATAAAAAATTCAGGTCCTCACAGCTGTAATTGCCTTGTCCTTCACTGTGTAGGAGGGAAGCTGGATGTGGAGAGAGCTGGGTGTAGGAGGGAAGCTGGGTGTGTGTCTGAGTGACTGCATGGACAGACTTTCCAGCCCTATCACAACACCAAGTTGGGGGTACTGATGCTGTTGGTGGGTCTGTCTTGGAGGAAGTGGAACAACTCCGAAGTGGTTTTCACACTCCTTGGCTGAACGTGCCTGTCACCCCAAGCATGATGTGCTGGTTGAGCAGCTTGTCAGAAAYTCACAGCCCTAGGCTGCTCCTGGTGTCAAAAGGGCCTGCCTTAACAACAAGGTCCTCTGTTAACATCTGCAAGTTTGGGAACTGGCAGTGAGCTGACACATGGTTCTCCTTAGAAAATGATGTTTGGGGCAAGGACATTGCGAATTGGGAAATCTTTAGCCTTGAATGCTTGTCCTTGCCTGACAGRCAGGAGCAGTCAAGCAGAAAGTCTCAGTTCTCTCCACTTGTAAGATGGAAGTCCTTTCAAGCCCTCTTGTGAGAGACCACATCAAGCATAGCAGGGCTTGCCCTTGGATTCAGTCATCAGGGAATGCACTCATAAATAATAGATTCAAATGTTAATTTAAAAAAATCTGCCATTGTCCCCAGCCATGCAGAAAGCATACTTTGCCTGTGACAAGGAAAATCCATCCATTGCCATAAAAATGTGGGGGTAATATATTCCATCAGTCCTGCCTGCTCTGAGAGTCTAGCCACATTAGCACTGCTTGGCCTTTTTGAAAAAGACATGTGGCAGAATAGGCATAACAATGAAATATTTCAAACTACCGCCAGGTGTGTAGGAGCATATACTTTATATAAAATAATAKATAACAGCTTCTGAAATAAGTATTGTGCTATGACTGGGAGCAGGTGTTTTAGTCTTTTGTGCTGACTATGATGTGCCGACTATTTCTCTGCATAGGATGGATCAATGCTGGGAATTAATGCAATTAATGGAACTATTTTTTCCAATTCTGAGCAGAATATCAAGTTAGGCCTGAAAAAATATACACACAAAAGACTCTAATAAAATTAGATTTTAAAAAGAGAATTTTCAATTTTCTTGAAAATAATGCAGCTGTCAAAATCACCAGCCATAATTTTCAGGTAGCTTATTGTTTYCAGCATGTCAAAACTGAAAAAACCCAGCCTTGAAAGCTGAGCAGAGATGACTGATCTACTCACTGTTTCATTTCCCTTGTTTCATTTCGCTTTGTTTCTAGATTGAGAAAATCTGTTGATTGGGCTGAATTGATRGAGTGCAGTCAAAAAGCTGAGTGTAAAGGATTTTTCTGTGTCTAATGAGCTGGAAATAGCTACTTGCAAAAAAAAAGTAGCTTCGTCTATTTTAAGTTCTTTATACAGACTAATTGCTTTACACTGTTTGAATTATCACATTCACAGAAATGGTTTGGAAAGCTGTATTGTTGTTTCATTGTGAAACAGCCAGTTTTCTAAGGGTTAAAATCGTGAAATGCCTACTAGTGTAGGAGAACCAAAGCTGCTTTTTGGCCGTGATAGCACAGAATCTGTACTTGAGCCTTCTCTAAAGGGACAAATTTGCTCCATCATGCTGCATGCACCTCCATTTTAAAAAAGAAGTGAGTACTGTCTGTTGTTGAYGACTTGAGGCTATAAAAGAGCCTAACTTTTGGTACTAAATTTAAAAGATGAACCTGTTAACATGTGTGAACTTCCCCACATACCTACGCAGAGCCATTCACACACAAACACTGTGTCTGGCTGCACAATGTGTCCTGTGTGCCGGTTTATGTAATGGTGTAGCTGCAGTTCTTGGCAACTGCAGGGCTGCTGATGGCAGGCAGCATGTGTTCAGCATCTCTCCTCTGCCTGCTGTAAGCACACGCAAGTTCAGCTCGTCTGGCCAGTTCCCTAAAAGCCCTCTGACACCATTTCACTGTGCAACACAGGAAGTTCTCACTGCTGCA